CCTAGAAATAAGGTTAACAAAGTGAAGGACCTTAACACTGAAAACTAAAAGACAATTGTTGAAACGATTTGAAAAAGTCAGAAAGAAATGGAAAAATATTTCATGGTCAGAGATTGGAAGAATTAACGTTGTTAAAATGGCCGAATTACCTAAAGCAATATACTGATTTGATCCAATCTTCATCAAAATCCCAATGGCATTTTTGATAGCTAAAGAACAAAACCTTTCAGATAGCTAAAACAATCCTGAGCAAAAAGAGAGCCAAATCAAAGGTGTCACACTCCATGACTTCAAATTATTGTACCACAAAGGTACAATAATCAAAACAGTATGATATTGGAAGAAAAATAGACACACAGACCAATGGAACAGAATTGAGAGCCCAGAAATAAAATCACACATTATGGGCAACTAACTTTTGACATAGAAGCCAAAAACATACGATGCAGAAAGATTTGAATATAAGACATGAAGCAATAAAATACATAAAAGAAACATAGGCAGTAAATCCATGGACTTTGGTCTCAGAGAGGATTTTGTGAACTTGACCCTAAAGGAAAGGGAAGTTAAAGAAAAAATAAATGAATGAGACTACATCAAACTAAAAAGCTACCATACACTAAAAGAAACCATCAACAAAACAAAAATGCAACCAACTGAATGGGAGAAGATATTTGCAAATGATATCTCTGATAAGGAGATATTATCCAAAATACATAAAGAACTAATACAACTCAACAACAACAACAACAACAAAAATCTGACAAAAATGGGCAGAGCACCTGAATAGACACTTTTCCAAGGAAGATATACACAGATATATGAAAAGATGCTCAACATCATTAGTTATAAAGGAAATGCAAATCAAAACCACAATGAGATACTACCTCACACCTGTTAGAATGGCTATTATCAATAAGAAAAGAAATAACAAATTTTAGAGAAAATGGGGAGAAAAAGGAAACTTCTCACACTGCTGGCAGGCATGTAAATTGGTGCAGCCACTATGGGAAACAGTATGGAGGCTCCTCAAAAATTAAGAATAGAGCTATTATATGACTCAGCAATCCTTCTGGGTATCTACCTGAAAATTTTGAAAACACTAATTTGTAAAGATATATGTACCCTATGTTCATTGCAATTTTATGCACAATAGCCAAGACATGAAAACAACCTAAGTGTCCTATGATGGATGATTGGATAAAGAAGTGGTACATATATACAATGGAATAGTACTCAGCTATAAAAATGATGAAATATTGCCATTTGCAACAACATGAATGGACCTAGAAGATATTAGCTAAGTGAACTAGGTCAGTTATAAAACAACAATATGACTTCACTCATGTGGGATATAAAACAAAAGCAACAAATGTACAAATAAAAAATATGAAAACAAAAAAGCTAATTTACATATTACAGAGAAGAGAATGGTTGTTACCAGAGAGAAAGGGGGTTCAAATACATAGTGGCAAAAGTAGAATAAACTTCAGATGGGGAGCACACAATAGAGTATACCTATGTCATTCATAATATAAAGTCATATACCTGAAATTTATATGTTATTAACCAATGTTACCCTAATACATTTAATTTAAAAAAATTTTAAAGAATTGAATTTCTCTCTCCTCTGTTAAAAACACTGAATAGATTAAGAAACAGATTAAATATAAATTTTAGATAGGTATTATCAGTAAAGTCCATTTATAACCTTCATTTTCAAGAGGTAGCACTGAACTTCAAAACTGAATGTGCAATGGACTTGCTCTTCTAAACAGCATTTATTGCACTCAAATGGCCATTCTTTCTTTAATGCCTATTATTCCATTTTCTATGCTGGCTACTCTTCACATGGTATCTCATATTCTCACAAAATTCTACAAGATGGGCATTTTTAACCCCAGTTTATAAACAGGGTCTCTGAAAATCAGAGAAAATTAAGTTCTTTCCAAATTTTCAACGTAAGAGAAAGAACAAAGTTTTTAAGTAATATTTGACTGCAAAGCATCTATTTACCACTCCCATACAATTAGCCTGTGTCCAATATTTTGGTTTTGGTTGAGCATTTTGACAAAATTTCCCAGAATAAATAACTTTCGTAGTTTAAAACTGGTATTTGTGGTGACTAACTTTAATTTAGCTCACTTTTAAATTTTAATAAATTGCGTAAGTTCTAGAGCATGCCAATGAGTTTTCTACCATTACTCTATATACATCCTTTTTCCTAAAGACCTTTGCAGAGTAAACTATTTAAACTGAGGCAGTATAAATTTTCCATACTAGAGCACATCCATCAGATATAGATAATTATTCTATAATTTTTGGCAAAGTATGGCAAATAAGCCTAATAAGCATTTAAGAATTTTGAAGATTTTTAAGATGCTTAGAAAGAGCTGAAATATCCAGAAGAAAATAATAAATTCTCTCTTTCATACCAATATACAATTCATTCACTCAGAATTAAAGAGGTAATGAGATCCTAGGTTATAAAGTCCAGAAATGTCAAGTCAGTTCCAAAGTGGTGACCTAAGACTAGGCCACGTATGATATTGCAGATGACAAAGTAGAACAGATTACTTAGTAAACTGTTTAAAATTAAAGACACAGTAATTGCTGGTTTTCCTTTGGGTCCTCTTCCATACTACAAGCAAAAATAATGTTCTTTGCATGCAGAGATGTGCTACCAGTTTACTATCTGTATGCAGCAGACTTTGAACTGCTCTTCTGGAAGTAGATCCATCCTTTTTCTCCCCTGATCCTTCTCTTTGCCCATGGCTTAAATGAAGGATAGGGAATAGATTCTATGCCACTTTGGTGAGTTTCTCACTTTTATATCATTAATACTCAGTTCTTTTCAGCTGATATAGCCAGACACCAAGATCTAGAAGCTGGTACTTTTCAAACAGCACTGTCCAGTCTCTATTAAAGTGATAAAGTGATAAAAGTGATAAAAGAAAGCTTTGCTGATTATTAATACAAGCAATATTGAGTACCCATAATTCTTTTTTCTCCATGAATGATTAAATATTTAAAGCATTTCTGGGACTAAAATAACACAGTTCTTTTCCTTGGAAGAAACTAGGTCCATCTTCCTTAATTTGTGTTTAAACTATTTTTAATGCTTGTAAAAGCAGGGTTCTTAAAGACAATTCAATTAAAGATTATTGAAGTAATGAGTTACAGAGAGAAATTGGAAAGCAGTTAGATCTGATAGTAGACCTTGAGAAGGTTTGGCTATTCACTGTACTCAGGTGATGTCTGCTGTCATACTCCAAGTCAAAGTATGTAATTGTGGGTGGATTGCCCCAAAATTAATTGGGCTTTGAAACAGGAAGAGGCTCACTTCTATTTCTAGCTGTCATAGGGAAATTCTTGTGTTGGAAATATGCTTTATGGGATAATGGTGACTACATCCTGAGGTTACCTGCTTACTGGCAAAACTAAGCCAGATTGAAAACTTCAGAAACCAGATGAAGGCCAGTTACTCTGAAGGTTGATGATTGATTCACATACATGTTTTAAGTTGACCGTGAGTGAGATGGAGGAAACAACACAGGAAAGAGGTAGGACTTGTGGGATCCCTGAGCCATAGAAACGTCTGCCAAGGGTAAAGGAGGTGATTGCGAAGTGGTACTAGATGGCCCACAAACTAGAGCCAGAGTATGAGAAGATTAGATAGAAATGTCCTTTTCTCACTAGGGGCCAGGAATTTGTAGGGATGGAGATGATTTCAGGCATGATTGGAGGAGATTCTGAGATTCTGAGACTGGGCTAGAATTTAGTATGTACTAGGGTTCTTGTAGTGCTGAAGTGGTACTAAATGGCCCATTCTGAGGGATGTCTGATATCAACCAACTGACTGATTTGTATTTCGCTGCAAACATTATGATAACATTTGCTTTCCTAATTACCAAAAATGATTAGAAGAATGGATTTTCCATTTAAAACCAGACATATTGTTCATGGAATCCCCTGGCACTTGACACATTTTATCTTACTAAGTATATCAGGGGTGTGTGAGTGTGTGAGTGTGTGTGTGTGTGTGTGTGAGAGAGAGAGAGAGAGAGAGAGAGAGAGAGAAACAGAGAGAGGAGAGCCCCTCGTGTCCTGTGTTTTCCCCCAACATGCTATGACTATTCTTCCATGATTGGGTAAAGCTCAGTGTGCAGTAAGGACTACTTTTAAAATTTTTCCTTTTGATGTTGAGATAACTCTAATCATAATTGTAAATGTGAAAACTTGAAACATTTAGCTCTCCAGACAAAACAAGAGATATGCTCAGCAAATAGTTTTCAGCTACTGGTAAATAAGCTTCTCTTCTGTGTTGCAATTTAGAAATGTAAACTAGTTTTTTTTTTCTTTTTTTTAAAGCTGTGATTGAAAATTGAAGACTGAATTTAGATTAATCATTAGCTAATGCTCTCCTTGAAAACACTGGAGACCTGATGATAAAAAAAAAAAAAAAATTAGCGCATTCAGAGGAAAGGGTCAAATGATGAATTTACATTCCTCTCTGGATTCCTTTTGTGTTCTAAAAATAGATCATTAACAAAGTTCTTTTTTTAAGTAAACAAAAGAAAAAGTTCTGTTTGAGTTGTTCACCATATTTATAATAGTACAAGTGGGCAATAAGTATAATGTATAAAGAAAGGCTTGAGTCAAATTATGGTAAGTCCATATGGTAAAATATTATAGAAGAATTTTAATGGTATGGAAACTGTCTACAAGGTACTGCGATGGTAAATTGGAATACAAAACCACCACATGATTAATGCATGATTCAACTTTTTACTTCTGTGTGTGCCAGGGAGTATCTCCAGGGTAATACTCCAGATAAGGGATTTTAACTTATTTTCCATCTGTGTCTCATTATATGTTGTTTATAATTTAAAAATTAACTTCAATAGTGTCAGAATTTTAAAAACTTCCAACCAAATCCATAACCTAGTGTAGATTACATTGTATCAAGAGGAAAATTACCAATTTTAAGAAGCAATGCAATGCTCGCTTTGGCAGCACATATACGAAAATTGGAAAGATTCAGAGATTAGCTTGGCCCCTGTTCAAGGATGACACACAAATTTGTGAAGTGTTCCATATTTTTAATAGACAGAAATCAAAGAGAAGTTTGGACTGTTTAAGGCAAGAGCAATGATGGTGAAGTAAGTAGTTTATAGAATAAAAACGGAGTTTAGACTGGCCTTAAACTTTGTTCCTTTTCATCCACTGAATTTCTGACTACCAACAAATAATAGAGGTTAGTTGGGCCTCAGAAGGCTCTACAGACTTGTTGGGTCCTATTGGCTACACATCTAGAACTCAGTTTCTTATTAGGAATAACAATACATTCTCTACCTGCCTCAAAAAATTTCTTATGAAGATTAAATGTTAATGTGTGTGAAAAAGAAACAATACAGAAGTTACCCTCCCTAAAGGTAAGCTTCCTGAATGACGATGTCTCTGTGTCATCAGAGTCAACGAAATGACTTTTGTCATCAAAGAAGCTCACTGCTAAGAATGACTAAGAGTGTCTTCTGCTTTCAGAGTAGTAGGTTTTTCTTCCCTGTCAGATTCTTGCCCTTTCCTGAGGCAATTACTAGTAAGCTTTTCTGTGTGTTCCCTTCCAGAAATTTTTTATTACTAATGATTTTCTAACTTGACCAAGATAAGGTGGTAAAATAAATGAAAATTATGTTTTCTGTTATCCTTCCTCATTAATGTTAATTTATATTGCTTATTGAAGTATGAACAAGCCAGATTTGACCTTTAGTGATTTCTTTACTAACAGAAGAGTCCTATATGCCCTTTCCATATTTCTATATCCAATTTCATTTTGACATTATGGAAAGAGATAAGACCTGTTTTGTTGGTTATTAAATTTATTACAGACAGTTATACCACTGTATTAAAATGTATGTTAATGTGTCAAATAATGATCTCTTTTTGTATAAAATTTTATATTGCTGATATCTTCTTTCAGGAAACTGTGTGAAAAAATTTCAGGTGAGGTAAAGGCTAATCCAAAAGATGTTTAATGGTGTCTCTATTAATAACATACTGTTAGAATTTAAAGGGGAAACTTTGCCATTTAAGATCCTGAATATAGAAACTGATTTTAATTCTGTCCTTACATGCAGTTGATAAAAAAATCAACCACTGAACAATACTCGAGCAAATGGTTTATGAAGATGAACAGAAAATATTGATTCCTAATGTTACAGTCTAAGAAACATCTATAACAAATTCCCCAATTTCCATGCTATATGGTACAAAAAAAATCATGGACTATGGAAATCATTTATTGATTATTTCTGAATCTCATATTTCCATCTGCTTAACTGTCAATTCTAATTGGATGTCTTGCTGTTTTCATACTCTATCGACTTAGATTAGCTTGGCCCCTGTTCAAGGCACCTGGTACAAACGTACCATTCTCACCACCTGGTTTTCCTGCTTATCTTACCTATGTGTTATTAATAAACTATAATTCAAGGCTAACTTTGAAAATCACAGAGTTGGAATAGACTTTAGTGGCCATCTAGTCCCCTTGTCTCTATTTGCAGATAAGAAAACTGAGGCTTCAGAAAGGGAAGAAAGGCACAATGACACACAGCTCCTTTGCAGAGAAGCCAGAACTGGGACTCCCATCTGCTAACAGTTACCCCTTGACTTCCCTGAAGCATCTTCCCAAAGGGTGTCTTTTGTTTTCTCTCTCTTGCCACATTGACTTAGGGCCTCACAACCTTATATCTTGTCTGTGGCAGTGGTCTCTAAGAGCCTCTCTCTCTCAAATCTCTCTTTGTTACAATCCTTCTTGGCTGTCATTGTCTACTTTTAAAAACACTAGTTTACACTGGATTAGGAGTTAAGAAATCTGAGCTGTGATCCTGAACTCTGTGTGTGACTTGAGTTTTTGATATTTCAGTTTACTTAAATGTAAAATGTGATTCTTAACTGAAGTTTTATTACTGCCTAATCGTGTTTGAAAATACTTAGGGGTATTTTGTTTTGTTTTAGTTGTTGTAGTGACTGATGGGGGACCCTGACATTTAATGGACAAGACCAGGAAAAAAGGTCCTGCGATGCCATGGGACATTTCCACATATCAGAAAATTGTCTTCCCAAAGTGGCAATATTCTAGTCTTCCCCTATTAAGAATTGATCCCTGAATTGATCTCTTCTGCCCATTTTTACACAAAAATCATCATATCATTCCTCTCAAATTCATTCAATAGACTCAAAAAGTTCTAACTCTTCCATGTGGTTTTCAAAGTTTTCCAAAAAAATAAAAATAAAAACCAAGTGGAAATTTACTATTCTGGTCACACTGAATTATTATTTATTGTCTCTCTACAGGTCTTTCTCAATCCTACCTCTGCACCACTTGTACTGTGCTCTCTCTAGATTTGTCCTTCCTCTGCCTTTGTACCTAGATAGATTTTGCCAGTTTTTCTAGTTCTAGGTCAAGTGCTTTATTTTAAAAAATGCCTTTCCTTGCCCTCTTTCGAACTTCCGTGTCACTTATTTTAACATGTATCTTAGCACTCAATCAAATTCTAATTTCTCTTGTTACTTAACTGTGTGTGTTTTTCTGGCTTCAAAAAGAGAATACAAACTTCTCCAGGGCAAAGATCATATCTCATACTTCTTTGTACATCACAGTGTTCATAGCAGGCCATGCACTTGATCAATGTCTGCTGAGTAAAATCACATTACAGCAAACACAATTAACATTTCCCATCACCCCCTCTATTTTTATACTAAGGTCCTTCTGTCTCTTCATTCCTTAGGCTGTGTGCTCTCACAGTAGGAAGAACCCCATATTTGTTTTCATAGAGGATGGGTCTTTGTTTTCTCTGGTGTTCTGTCCCTGCATCAGATAACCTCTGCCTTTCAGCTTCTCTCTCTGTTGCTTTTCTTGGTTTTCCCTTGTGTCTGTGCAAAGCTACCAGCAGAGAGAAGGTGAGCAGAAGAAATCCTGATGAACAAAGACATTTGGAGAGTGGATAAATTAGGAAGAATACCCATGGCTGACACACACTTATGTCCTTTTATTGTTATATGTTAGAGTCTTTTTTGGATGCTGCAAGTGGCACTTTGTCATTATTGTTGTTAATCAGTGTAAATGTGCTTGGGCTTTTCAATCATATCAAACAACTATTTTGGAAAAGATAATGCAAGTGGTACTCTTAATCTTGTTCTTTCAACAGAAAGATTTTAATTTTTTTTTTCAATTTAATTTCCTATAAATGTAAGAGATTTATGTCTTCAGGGAGTTCACTTTACATTGAGTAATGTATATTTTTATTTTATTGACAGTGAATTTGTCTGCAGTACTCGGTTTCTTTTATCATATGTAGTTACCCTGTATAATAATAAAATTGACTTAAAAACATAAAAGAGTTTGGACATTTTAAATAAATTAAAATGACATATTTCAAGGTGATGCAGAATTTATACTATCATCTCTGTGTGGTCACATACACATTTTATGTATATGCAGAACGAAAGAGTAACTGCTTTCAGTAGTATCCTAAAACAATGATACCTAAGATGACCCCATGAAAGAAAAACTTATTTTATCACACAGGCATTAAACCATGAGTACCCTTGTCTGGAAATAGTTGTGTCTCTCAGAGTATATAGATGATTCCTCTGAAAAAGTAGTAAAGAATTTTTTTTTTTTTTTGTACACTAAGCTTGGTGAAGTAAGTAGTGAGGGTTTATAGATTAAAAATATTATGTTTATTGATCCATAAAACAGATGTGATATACCACCACCAACAAAGGTTCTTCCCTTGAGATTTATGTTTGCTATCTGCAGGCTTTCAGATGGGTTGTTATTTCCCAGTTTCTCCTGAGCTGTCCAATGTAGGGCCAAATATGTATGTTTGTATATACATTTATATATTTCTTTTCTTCCTATACCACTTTTTCCCATTTTTTTTACCTTATTGTAATAATCCAACTCTACAAGCTGTTTTGTGAGAAATGGTTCTCAGGGCCTCATCTTCTGATCCCTGGCAGTTTTTATGGAAAGATGGTACAGATACTTGGAAAATGTTAGTCAGGACATAAAAAGGGATTTGCTTGTTATATTTTCAGGAATTGTTTGGAAGTAGAAAAGAGCTGTTTTGAGTTTTGGTTTGTGAAAGGAGAGACAGTAATTCATAAAGGCAATAAATGTGAGCTTAAGAAATGTGTCAGCCTTTCATAGTTCAGCAGCAGGTAACCACAGGTAATGAAAGAACATATAAACCAGGGAAGAGCATGTGGTAGGATAGGAAGAGCTTACTCCCTGGTGTCTGGTTGATTTCCTCAGCTTTTAGTCCATATACATACTACAAAAGTCTTCTCCAGGATCTAAGGAGAGATAGAAGTTTAAAACCAGTCATATGCTGCATAGCAATTCCATCATCTTTTAAGAATTCACACATGACTAGTAGGCCTTAGGAAGCACAACTCCAGCCATAAGTGTAAAAATCTCCTGACCCTGCATTCTCGGTTTCCTTTAAACAAGACAGCTTTTTAGTAGAGGTGATTGTGTAGGACAAAAGGGAAGGCAGAAGTAAGGTAATCTGAAAATGGGTCTAGGGAGTTGAATGAGTGTCCCCTTATTCTACAGAGCAGTATGGATATGGCTCATCCCCTTGAAGAATAAGCAATCCCAGCCACCAAGAAATAGTTCTGACTCCACAAGAAGAGGCAGATCCTGTGGACCTATGAACTGTGGATAGGCAAAGTGGGTGGTGTTACCTCTCCAGCACTGTAACTTCGGAGTCTCTGGAGGTGTTGTCGATGTGTCAGTTGATTGGGAAGACGGCCGTTCTGAAGAGGGATTCGGGGGTCAATGAAAGTAGTAGCTCGACTGTTGTGGTCCACAAAAAAAGACTATAAACAGACCAATAAAAAAAGCACACTGTGAGAATGAGCCAGAATAAAATCAGTAATGTATGGGAATGCTACAGAGCTCAGTCATCATGTTTACTTCTGTCCCTCCTGCTTATCTACTCAAAATTAGATGGAAGACTGGGGCACTGTGTATCTGCATTCTTAGTAGTTGAATGTAGCAATATCAGTCACTTTGCACTGAGACACTATCATAACACTTTATAGAGTAATAATCATAACACTATTTAACATGAAAAAATAAGAGAATTAGAGCCTTTAATGGATAAAGAATACTAGTAATTAATAATTTATAGAACATTTTATTTTTAAAATAAATGTTCTTTTTCTGATTATAGAATTAGCACAGTCTCACTGAGAAAAAACTTTAAAAAGATGAAAAAAATAAAAAGAAAATAACCAAAATCATACTAAATATCACAATCTAAAGGCAATCACCACATTTTCTGTGTGGCATGTCTGATTATTACTATGTTCCAATATGTGACAAAAGTTATTCTTTAAATCTAAAATTACCTCTTATAAAAGAGAAAATTAATACTTTTTAAAAAATAAACGATTTGTGCTATAAAAGTCAAATACTCTCTTTTGAACAAAATGTAATTTTTGGTGAAGGTATCTTCGCATTAAATGACCTCAACCAATGCTCATTTTATGTATGTTCAGATGTCACCTGACAAAAGTAGCCAAACAAATTTTATACAGATCTAGAAATTATTTTTGGGAGGTATGAGCTTAAAATTTCAAGTATTAGATGTCATTGGAAACAAGGGCTGTATGTCCACAAATTAGATGGGACTGAAGATGATGTGCTTTGAAAATTGTTAGATGGCTCAAAAAGTAATGTTAAGGGTATTAAAAATATGAGTAAAGAATTTGAATAAGAATAAAATGTGAGTGAAAAAACCAACATTTACCAACATGTTTCTATAACGTGAGATTTTAAACACACAAATATAAACTAAACTAATAATATTAAGTGGGCATTTTATTATTCAACTCTATACCTAGACGTTTATAATTAAAGTTTGTATGGATTCCTTATTTTTTTATTAATTTTCAGTATAATTTAATTTTTTAGTATAAATTTCTAAAGTTGAGTTAAGTACTGGATTAAAAGTTAGAAAAATGTTAAGCTTATTAATCCATATTAACAAACTACCTTCATAAGAACTGTACAGAGTTAACATCTTACCATAATTCCATGAACTCTTTTGAGTATTTGAAAAAACTCTTAGAAATGTTGAATGGTAAATAATGATAAAGGATAGTTTACAAGGGAAACAAAACATTTTCTTATAGGTTTATTAGTCAATTTCATCATAGGAATATTGTCTACTTTGTCCATTCTCTTTTTTGTTGTTGGGATATTAAGTTTTTTTTATTTATTTGTAAGTGTGCTTAGGTATTCATCTGCCTTCAACTTGCTTTTGATTTTTGTTTGTTTCATCTTATAATACACAGAAATTTTATATTCCTATGTGTTCAAATCTCAATTATTTTTCTATCTAGAGGTCAGTTAAATGCTAAATTTAAATTTTATGGGTTAATCATTTCTGAAATGATGGAAAGTTGTAATTTGATATTTTTCTCCAAAGCTCATTTTGCCCAAATCACTCATTTCCTATTGTTTTATTACACAAAATGCTTATAAACACCACTGTCTTTTTCAGAAATATTTATCTGTTTCAATGGTCTATGGGATTTTTGCAGCTTCAATTAATGTTGGTAGGGCAAGTTTCCTTTCATTATTATTATTTTTTTTAATTTTCTTAATTTCATTTTCCCAGATGAACTGATATTAATTTTATTAAGTTCTGAAATAGTTCTACTTGCATTTTGTTTAGCATTACCTTAGGATTACAAATGGTTTTAGAGAGAATTCATTCCTTATAATACTTGAATTTACCTGTTTCCCATCTCTGAACATAGAATGACTCTTTATGCAAGAATATTTTTTTCTCAGTAAAATATTATAGTCATCTTCCTGAAAAGACACATATTTCTGGTTAAGATAGTTTATATTTAATATTAACTGTTGCTATTCCAAGTGCCTCTTTTCCTGTTATGTTTTGTAACCTATCATTACGGTACCTAGGAAAATGATTATTGGTGTATTTTGTTTGTGTCTGCTCATCATATAAATGCTTCTATCAAGTAAACTGCTCTTTTGAGTTCATCATCTTTGTTTTTAACTTGCAAATAATTATGATATTTTTGTCTTCTTCTTTACAAGGTCTCTTATCTTTAACCTCCTTTCTTGTAATATTGGTGAGAACTTCTAGAACAATATTAAATAGATATAGCAGCTGCGATCTTCTTGTTCTTGATTTTGATAGGAAAACTAGAGTCCAATTGTAAAATGGGAAATGGTTCATTATGTTAAAGGAGCCTTATTATGTCATAAAAAATATATTTACATTTTTATTTTACTGAGACTACTTTTTTTGGTTTAAAAATATATATGTGTAATAATAGATTTTCTAGTAGTAAATAACCTTTACATCATTGGGAGAAAATCTATTAAATTGTGGTGTGTCATTCTTATTTTAATGTACTATCTAAATCAACTTTGTTTTGATTATGAGCTTTTTGGAACTCAAGTGAGTATCGTCTATAGCTTTTTTAAAAAATTCTGATTTCCTTAGTTTTGCTTACTCATCTCAGTGCATGTGCATGTGCTTAGATTTACACAATTTAATCAAATGTGTAGGTTTATGAATCCACCACCAGAGTCATCACTACAAGAACACTTTATGCTGCCTGTTTATGATCACACTTGAAAATCACTCCCTTTATGCTGCCTGTTTATGATCACACTTGAAAATCACTCCCTTTACCCAAAATTACCTTTAACCATTGATTAACCAGAAATGTTCTCCATTTCTATAATTTTGTCATTTCAAGAATGCTATAGAAATGAAATCATACAGCATGTAACCTTTTGGGACTAACTTTTTTTCACTCAATCTAGTTTCCTTCAGATTCATCCAAGTTGTTGCATGTATCAGTAGTTATTTTTTATTGCTGAGTAGTATTCTGTGGTACAGATGTACCAGATTTTGTGCTAATAACTTTTGCTTTTTGTCTGCTCTCCTTAGTCAAGTTATGACTCATAAAAAGAACTCTGTAGTTTCCATTTTTTAACTATGTTCTAGAGTAGCTCATAAAGCTATCTGGGGTGAGCAAGAAATTCATTATGCATTTTCCAGTTTATTTTATGACTATAAGTCTATTAAATTTTTTATATTTCCTGAGCTATTTTTATCATTTATATATTTTAAAAAGTTATCCATTTCTTCTAGATTTTCTAATCAAACATTTATAGAACTATACATGCATTTTCTTTCTTTTTAAAATTCCTATGAATCTGTTATATCTAATTTCTTGGGTTTATTTGCTATTTTCCCTTATTGATTTCTCTTCTAAAACAACTTTTATGTTTATTTATTTTTTATTTTTTAATTACAGTGGGCATTTAATATTATTTTATACTGGTTTTAGATGTACAGCATATTGATTAGATACTCATATAATTTATGAAGTGATCCTCCTGATTAGTCTAGTACCTACCTGGAACTATATACATAGTTATTAAAATATTATTGACTATATTCCCTATGCTGTACTTCACATCTTTTGACTATTTTGTAACTACCAATCTGTACTTCCTAATCCTATCTCATTTTTTAACCAGCCCTCCAACCTCCCTCCCATTAGGCAATCACCAGTTTGTTCTCTGTATCTATAAGTCTGTTTCAGTTTTGTTTGTGCATTAATTTTGTTCTACAGATTCCACATATAAGCAAGATCATATGGTATTTGTCATTCTCTGTCTAACTTATTTTACTTGGCATAAAACCCAAGTCCATCCATAAAAATTTCATTTTTTTTTTGTATGGCCAAGTAACATTTCATTGTATATATGTATCACCATTTCTTTATCCAATCGTCTATTGACAAGCACTTAGGTTGCTTCCATATCTGGCTACTGTAAATAGCGCTGCAGTGAATATAGGGGTGCATATATCTTTTCAAATTAGTGTTTTAGATTTCTTCAAATAAGTATTCAAAGTGGATTGCTGGGTCATATGTTAGTTCCATTTTTAACATTTTGAGAAAATTTCGTACCGTTTTCAACAGTGGCTATACCAATTCGCAATCTCACCAACAGTGCTTGAGGGTTCCCCTTTTTTCACATCCTCACCAACATTTGTTGTTTTCCAATTTATTGATGAAAGCCATTTGATAGCTGTGAGGTGATGGGAAGGTGAAATTTTAATTTGCATTTCTCTGATGGTTAATGACGTTTAACATCTTTTCATATTATATTGATCATCAGTATGGAGAAATATCTATTCAGGTCCTCAGTCCATTTTTTTTAATTGGGCTGGGTTTTTTGTTTGTTTGTTTGTTTTGGCGTTGGATTAGTATGAGTTCTTTTTAAATTTGGATATTAACCTCTTATCAGATGCATCATTGGAAAATATCTTCTCTCATTCAGTAGGTTATCTTTTTGTTTTGTTGATAGATTCCTTTGCTGTGCAATAACTTTTTAGTTTAATGTAGTCCCATTTGTTCATTTTTCCTTTTGTTTCTCTTGCTCCACATAATGTATTGGAAAAAAATATATATTACTGAGAACAACGTCAGAGAGTTTACTACCTATGCTGACATTCTTATGGGAGCTCTCTCATAAGTAACTAGCTACCTCTCTCTTACTGCCTGCAGGATTCTCTCTTTGTCTTTAATCATTGCCATTTTAATTATGATGTGTCTTAGTGTGGGCCTCTTTAGGTTCACCTTGTTTAGGACTCTGTGCACTTCTTGGACTTGTATATCTATTTCCTTCACCAGGTTAGGTTAGTTTTCTGTCATTATTTCTTCAAATAGACTTTCAATCCCTTATTCTCTGTCTTCTCCCTCTGGTACCACAATTATGTGAGTGTTGATACACATGATGTTGTCCCAGAAACCCATTA